AGTGTAGCTCCCACTGCAGTAGTTTTTGAAGAGTTTACAATATTTCATATATTTATCATCTTGGCAGGCCTTCGAGAATGTAAAAAATTTCAGTATTTGTCAATGAGTCTTTCAACCAGTATTACCACATTTCATTTAAAAACTAGCATTTAGTGAGTTCCTGAAAAATATACACCAAGTCTGTGACAGAAGGAAAAAAAACTGCTCCAGTTTCCCCAAAGCCCATGCTAACTTCTTAACCTCCTGTTACAGAACGACGTATGTTCCTTCTTTATGTCAACATCACTTTCTCTGACTGGAGCTAAAAAGAGTAAAATCTGCCTCAGTTACCTTCTTAGATATGATCTAAAATTTCAAGGTATAAAGAGGTAAGGCATAAGAAAAATTAACTTCTTCAAAATAAAAAATAAAATATATAAAAATCTTCCTGTTTTTGTCTCATTTAACATGCATCCTATTTTAGGATTCCACTTTCATATTCTTCATGGTTCTTATTATAGAACCGAACAGCATTATCACAGATTAGGACTCAATTGTCAGACTATGCAGTTATAATTTAAATTCCTATATAAATATCCACATAATAATCCAGATTTCACTACTGAGAGGTAAGATTATCTCAGCAGTATGATAATCATACACTGTAACTAGAAAAAAATACACACCTTTACATTGCAAAGTCAAACTTGTAGATCTAAGAAAGGATTTGACAAAGGCAGAAAATGCCAGGGAATTGGAGCGCAAGTTTGACTTGAAACGTGAAACTTACCCAATTTGCCAGGAGTAAGAGGTTCTTTTTCAAGTGTTGTGCAAACACTGAAGAATGTAACAATTCTAAAAATACACAGTGATCTGATCTACCAAACACTATCTGTTGTAGAGTGACCTCATAAAATATATTTTTTTCATTGTGTTATTTCAATGAACCAAAGTTTTAAGTTATTGATTCTCAGAAGATATAATCAATTAACACTTTTCTTCTGTTTATTTCACCAACCAGAAGAATTTTGTGTTTACTTTGGTCCAAATTATTTATTGAATGTTTATTCTGTTTTCACTATGTCAATTTGTCATTACATGATGATTTAGAAAGAACTTAAGATTTCAGAATTAACACAACTATTAAAGTACAACCATGACAAATAATTTTAATTTTTCCTATCAAACGTTCCACTTCATTATGTCTTTTCCCAAAACTTTACACTTTCCATTACCTGGCTGAATTCCCCTAAGAGAAATGATGCAATTTCACTCAGGGAAATAGCAGAGTCTGCGTCATAATAAAACCATTTTGGACTAATAAAATTTTTGCATTAAAAAGACTTATTTTAGCAATGGTTTAACTAATCACGTTTTTCACAGCAGTTAATATTTTCAATTCAGTTAAACATTATTCCTTAAATTAATCTGTTGATTTCTTGATGACAAATTAGCTTGGTAATAAATGTATCTATATGAAAAATATAGCAAAAAAATACTAGCATTTAAGCGTAGTATGTCAGGCAAGCATTAAAGACAAATATTACAACATAATACGAGTTCTATTAGGAGAAATAAGAGATATAATTTCAGTTGAACTATACTGTCCAGTTCCTTTGAGCATTTTCTGTTCAGGAAAAATGCAATATTCTATCTTGAAATGCAAGTACTTTTTTTCCTTTGGTCAAACTGTTTCTTTATGATAACACAACTTTTCTGGTTCCACTTAAAAAGTAAAATAAAAAATGTCAATAGCATCATCAACGGGCTAAAAATATTAAGGTCTTTTTTGAAAATGAATCAGGTGCAGATATTGAACTGTACTTTTTCATCCTTTGTCTCACTTTTCAAATGATAATTTCTTCCACAGTCACCATTAAATCTTGATCTATTCCAGCTCTCTGTATGGGTCATTGATTCTAGATGTACCATGGTTATTTTTAAATGTTTCCCCTTCGTAGAGAAAAAGAGGGCTGTCCAGAGCCAGATGGGTAACTTCACACTTCATTTATCAAACCCAATACATTAGACTCCACCCTCTCTTTCCCACTATTGCTGTTAAATTTCCATATAATTTGGTAACAATTTTCATTATCATACAGTGACCCTAAAAAGTCTACACAGGTTTGCATGGTTAGTCCAAAAATCACAGCTGTTCCCTTTACCCTCCATTTGTTACAGTAGAATCTAAGGTTCCCCTAAATTCATAAGCTGAGCAGTGACCTGCTATAAGCAGAGGTCAAGAAGAGGTCAGTTCAAAGGGCTAGAGCAGCTCTTTAACAGCTATAACAACCTGTCCATCAGGCACTATCAAGTAGTATAAACAAATCTGGGGCTTTAGAAACTCTGGACCATTTCTCTTAACACTTAGAGGACATTCATTGAGTCCTACCTGAAGTAATTTGGATCGCTATCACTCAACATAGAACAACTTGAATCCCTAGAAGACCTGCTCAGATACTTAAGACACTGATGACATCTTTGAGTCAAAAAGGATACGAAATGGCGAGCCATAACACTAAGTGCACTACCCCGTGTTTTGGACTACGAAGCTGAAATAAAAACCTGAAGAGTAATTTCAGTTGGTTAATATGCACAAACAGTGGTACCTTCAAGCAAATAATGCAAGGATATGCATTAAGCAAGTAGATACATATACATATGAAAACAGGTCACATACCTTTCTCCAAAAACAGGTTAAATTTCTGAAAGTTTAATCCGTTTGTATTAACAGTTCCCAGCATGTATAAAGTGTCAATGACACAAATAAAACCCATGAAAGAACAGAATGCCTGCATAACTCTACAAAGACTAAGTGCAGAGTAAAGTTTTTCCCAGCTGCCTTCCCTTCACTGACCTAAATTTCTTGAAGTTGTACTGTTCATAATGTGCTCTCTAATGCACAATGTAAGGTAATTAGAGTCATCTGTATTTAACTTCCACAGGAAAAAAATTCTATTATCTAATCTAGTTGATCCCCTGATAGCCTGTTGAAAGTAAAATACTGTAACCTATTGCCTGCCCTTTGACAAGTGCTAATTATTTCCTGTCCAAGCACATTTTTCTCATGTAATTCCAAAGTACACAATAGACTGATCTCTAAAACATGGGCAGCCCTGCTAGTACCACGGCGGACGTTTTATAACTTTCACCACCGTATGCTTGATGGCTACCACAGTCAGTGCTTCATCCCAGACATCTAGCTGAAGCTTTGATGAAGTAAAGTGAGGTGTATGGTAACAGTCTGTTTATGCAGATCATATGGATGAGACTCTCAGATAGGTCACTGGAATGGGAAACATCAAATGGAAAGAAAAAGGATTATGGACATTTAATACTCAAAGGACACTTTCTTTCAGAACTTTCAAGGCACAATGCTCTTGAAATTTTCTTTCAGGTGTTTAGTTTTAAGGAAGTCTGCACTTTGTCTGCTTGTGCCTCTCCCCACCCCCACCCAAGAACTTTGGCATTTCTGTGTCTGAGACTAGACTATGTCTACAACTGCAAGACTGGCTCCAGCCTCTCATTACCTTGTGAGTAGCAAGTAGAGCCCAGAAACATGCAAAAAAGATGCATGTGTCCCAAGGAAAAGCCTTAAGTGATTTCCTCTGTTTCTGATGTAGTCAAACCATTGGCATTATTTAGTAAGCGCAGTGATGGAAGGCAAAAAAATCCCCTCATAAAAATCCCTTAAATTCCTCAAATAGGAAGAAACAATACCAACATAATAATACAAACAATATCGTAGGCCCACCTTACCAAGCTCTTTTCCACTCTGAGATCTTAACTGATTAGTGTACAGACATTCCATGCTCATAAGAATGTGAACTTGTAAAAGACAGCCTCTGATTTGTATAATAATTGTCACTATGTAACAGTGTTTAATTCTTATCTAAAGCTTCTAAAATGTTTCAAGTCCACTCACCGTAATTATTTGTAACAGGAAAGACACTCGAGTGTCAGATCCATTATCTACAATTAATTTTTCGAAGTCAATCTCATAGAATTTTCAGGAACTTACCAAAATTATACACCAACAAAATACTGGAGAACACCCTTAACTGGAATGCTTAGTGCAGGTAAAAAAATCATGCTAATTAGGTGCTAATTTTGATTAACAAAATCTCATTTAAAAAACACTTTTGACTAAAAACTGTATTTAATCGTAAGCACAAGATATCTCTTGGTTTTAAAGGAAAGTTGTACATTTGATAGAAAAATTTCATAGACGGTTGGATATTTTATTGAAATATCATAAATAAGAAAAAAAGACTATTAAATGAGTATAAATCATCAAATTTTAGAAACAGATGTGAAAAAAGCAGCTAAAGAGAAGAACACAAGTTGGCATATGGTATAAATCACCTTTTTTGAATTCACGTATTTCTGAATGAACTAGAGGTACGATGCATCTGTAGTTTCTAAAATGCATTCATCTGATGACATTCCAGCCACATAAACTTTTTCAAATAAAAGCATAAACAATTTTTAAAAATTGTTATCAACATCACATGACTTATTGCAATGGCTTCAATTTAAGAACTCACATCTAATAAAAAAGTCACATGATATGAACTCCAGCACATTTATGCCAATCTCACCCAACACAACCCAGTTAATACTGGTAGGATATGATGAGAAAATGTGAGGATCATGGAGAAAGCAGACAAGAAGGGCATCTATTAGCATGGCACCAGCAAGGGGTATTGCTCATATTGTCAGCGATACAAGGAAAACCTTATGGCACTTGAGGTGGTACCAATCCTCAAGTAAGCTGCCCATCAAGCTGTTATCAATAGACAGCATATAAGGGAGCATTCTACCCTACAAAGTAACTCTGAAATCAGAGGCAGAGACATTGACTATTCCAGTCAAGGAAAAATACTATTTGAGCAGTAAAAATTTAGATTTTTTTTTTTTAATGTCAACTTGACTTTCTCCCAAGGGGATTTATAAAAGTATATTTGATATATTTGTTTCTAATTTTATTATTTTATTATTTTTTTTCAAAATTTTCTTACCTTGCTGTCCATTCTTTACGCAGCTTTTGTCGCTCGGTAAGAACTAGCAAGAAGCAGCTGATGGTTTCATTCCTTTGTTCCTCAATTTGTTCCTCTTTTCCAACTTCAGAGAGGACCAGGCTTGTCTTAAAGAGAAAAAACACATAAAAGTTATAATCTAGAAATAGGAAACAATGTGTAAAATTAATAAAAAGCCCATAAGCAAATAAGGACAGTAAATCAATAGCTTTTTTTATTACAGTTCCACTGCCTACAAATCAATAAAGTAAATGATGGTTAGAAATGGCCACCATATATTTGGTATTTAATCAATATACATGGCACATAGGGTAAACCTTAAAATCTCATTGCCTTAAGTAACACAACAAGACATTGTGCATTCTAGCTCTCATTTTCTTGAGACATCATTATTTTCTTTTCTAAATATTTTCTTGTTTCAAGTCATATCAGAAATGTTTCCCTTAATACAGCATTCATTTGGGGGATTTCCCCCTCCCCTTTGATCCTTGGTGAAGCTAAAGAAGAAAACAACTGTTTGCATTGTATCTTCTGAAAGGAATTTCTGATGATGTCCCCATGCTCTCTTTATAATGAAATATTTTAAGTAAATAAGTAGTAAAACCCTATCTTTTTAAATTTCTGGAATTTTATATATATATATATATGCACACAATGGACTTAAGTCACCTATGGAGTAGGAGGACACTCAGTCTCTGCAGAACAAAAGTTACTGGCTCTCCCAAATGTTGTGTCGACAGTTAATGTTGATGCAATGAAACTGCAGATGATCTCACTGTCCTTCATCCACCCAGCAAGCTAATTTAACTCCCCTACCCCATCTCTGCCTTCAACTACTAATCCCCCACTGTTTTGTCCTTTTCTTTCTTCTATGCTTCCCCATGCCTGCTTAGAAAAGAAACGGCATGTGCTGATGCTCATGCTACTAACATGTATGTCAGCCAGTGCGCTTGTGCTGACTCGATGTGCAGCCCTGCAACCACAACAGAGACCTAGAGGCTTTACCTTCAGAGAATATATTATATCTGCCTTTTTCACCTTAACCAGCCACTGATAGGCACTTTATTATTTTTGCTCTTCTAACCTTCAGTCACATGTTCTGCAAACGTATCAAAGTACCTAAATGCATCTGGGAAGGATGACTGAATGGAAAGAATACTTGCATAAATCTTTTCTTTTTTTTTTTTTTTTTTTTTTTCCCACGGAAAAGGAGGCAAAAAAGGTATTTCTAACCTGAGCAGTTGTAGAAGTGAGTTTGAAAACAACTCAAACACCACTAAGAGCTGTAATTCCTACTTCCAGGATGGCCTCCCTTATAGGAATAACATGACAAAAAGACATGGCATATTGCCTCCTCCTTAATATCCCATACACATTACATTCTGCCCTGCACAAATGTAGACCCCGTAAAATTCCTCTGAGGATTCTGTCAGATAAATGGTTGTTATTATCTTCAGTTTGTGAAAACAGGAAGATCTATCCTTGGTCTGACAGGTTTTTTTTCCACAAGAAAGAATAATATGCAGATTATACACTGAAGCTACATTAAGTAATGGTAACATTGTTTCTGCCACAGTAGTTCCAAGAGACAAGCATGATGGGGTTCATGGAGACAGAAAGTAATTTTCTTACACTGACATCAGATGACAAAGAGCAAAAAGCATCTTCCTCCCCACTCCCCAGCTCTATCAGCCGGCCTACCAAAAGGCATTACCCTGTCTTATGGGACTTAAACATCAAAAAGAACATTTTCTTGTAAAAAACCCCAGAATGTTCAAAACTCTGTCTATACAGATCACATTCTTGACCCTGCTTTGACATTACAAAGCAAACAAAAAGCCAGAGAGCATTTTCAGATAAGGATTCCCTGACATGAGTTTCCCTTGTGCTGACCTACAACATCTTTTCCACAAGCTCTAATATCCGCCAACTTCAACAATCCTGATCTTACAGCCTCACTTTCAGCAGCTGCACAGTTTAAAGCAGGATTTGATAGAGGACTTCAGCATGTGGGAACATACTCACATGAGATGAAAAGTTGTACATTCTTTAATTAATGTAAATTAACACTCCTTGTCATTCAGAATAAATATACTTAATATAAAGACTTTAACTTCTATATTCACCACCTGCAAGACTTGACACAGCACAATAACTAAGGTTTATCTCTGTCTTAGAGGATGATCTCATGCTAGCCATACAGCTAGGTCACAGTACACCAAGATTTCCCTTTCAGAATCCAGGGATGGCCTTACTAATCACAAGGAGTTATGGAAATCCACTGGTGATGGTGTAGAAGTCTACTTCCTTCCAAGACTGCAGAAAAGCCCCAAGTTCAATGATGCTTTGCCTCACAAAGCTGAAAGTATAGTTATTTGCAGGCAACAAACATCAAGATCCCCTAAATAAGTGATTCCCAAAGCATTGAGCATAGTTCCTGAATAATTTTCAGTTAAAATCTGATGAAAAAATGATGTTATTAGAGTATTATCAGTCAGAGAAGACGAGTGACCACTTCTCCAAGTATTAACAATGAATTCTGATGGCCTGGCCAAATTGCAGCTTTGCTACTGAGTTCTACTACCTAAAGTCCCCTCCATCTACAGGAACATCATAATTCTGGAACATAATTTAATTTTTACTGAGAGAACAATTATATAGCTCCAGTTTTCTTCATTTATGTGGTGATGTACATAGTTCAAGTCAAACTCATAGTTTGACACTGACATCATAAATGCCTCTTTACTGAGCCCTGTGAGGCAGCTGCAGCTACCTGGAGGGTGAAATAGTACTATTAAGCAACATACAGTAACAATATATAGCAATTTAACTGATTTACTTGTTTTCTAAGAGTGCTGAGGGCAGTAAGGTTACCTGGAATGCAAGTGCAGGGCTTGATATGTAGCTTTTATACAGGCATTTCTTAATAACTTGTTTTTCTTATCATCTCGATAAAAATCCCAAATTGTAACAAATAAAGCAGCATTCTGGGTAAATTAGTATTATAAAACACGTTCCTTTGAAAGTTTTCTTTTCCATGTAACTTGTTTTGGGATTTATTTTTAACAAGGGGATTCAATATATACCTTGACTGATAAAGGTCAAGGGTTCAAGAAACTCGGTCAAAGATGTTATCAGCTGGGAAAGCCATTTCCTCACATCAACACTGATAAAAATCCATCAGAAACCCAGGCGATACCACCCCTGCTCTAAGGGCAGGAATGACCTTCTTTTGAACATCACTACAGTTGCACATCCCATCAAAGAAAATCTGACCTTGTGTCTCAATTCTTTTAATGTTCTTAAATGACAGATAATTGTCTGCAGAGGCCCCCTTTGCCCAACGCTGAGTGAAGCCTTCACATTTCTGAACTGGACTCAACACTGACTCGGTGTTTTTCAGCAGCTTGGGACCACAGGACAGTAGAATAAATAAACAATGTAACCAGCCCTAAAGCCTGTCTTATCTCATCCTTGTGTTCACAGAGATTCTTGAGGGTGGTAATGTTTACAAATTGTTGAAACTTTCTTTCTTCTGCTTCCTGAGCTGGCAAAAACATATCCTGGACAACCTAAGCAAGGAGATTACACAAATTGCTTATCACTTGAGGGAAGCAACTTCTTGTCTCATTGGCCAGCATGTCTCTAATAAGTAGCACTGTTAATATTTTTCAGTAAATCTTCCCCAATTCTCCTATTAATGTATTTAGGGCATTTCCTTGTAAATCCCAAATGGCATGGTCTTAAAAACAAACACACAACTCACCTCTCAGAAAAGCCCAAAGCTATATACACACACACACACATACACATATATATATATATATCTGTATGTAGCTGTTGCTAATCCAGCCTTCTATGTTCAAGTATTTAGCACTTTACACCCTTTACCTGCCTCCTGGTGCGCCAGCAGACCTAAATCTAGTGCTCTACTGGCATATCAGGCAACAGCCATCACAGCTTCTTCTCTTACGTCAGAAAGAAAGGTACCAAGGTAAGATTTTAAGAGACCAGTATCATATTCCTCTCATTCCCACTGACAAAATGTATCAGTGCCACGGGACTGAATAGAAACTGTTATAACCAAGTCTTACTATTCACCCAGGATACACACTCAAAATTAGACACCTTTTATGAGTCTTAACAAAGCTAACCCAGGTATTGTAACAGGATTACAATAATAGGTTTTTTTTAGATACACAGCAGGAGAAGGTATGTGTCAACATCAATATGCCACTACCCCACTTAACTGTATGTATCCCGAGTGAATACCACGACATGCTTACAAACACACACACACACAGACACAAAGCAACTGCTAAACACTCCAAAACTCACACCCGTAGTACACTTTTAGTCTTTTAAAGCTAGATTTTCCTTCCTCCAATATAGACCTCTCAAGGAGCCAGACTTAAGGTTAGAAACATTGTATAGCTGGAGACACGAAGCCCAGTATTCTGTCAAACAAATTAGCCTCCAGTCTGAACTAAAGTGGCACTTGGGACAGTTTGTCTCTTTGTCCCACTTTACTGGGTCAACAAATCAGATTTTTAACTCTGAGTTCAGATTTAATTTACTCATCACCAGTTTAAATAGGATAAGCTTCTGAATCTTTACTAACCACTTCTACTTAAACATAGCAGCCATCTCTCAATAATCAGTAACTAATACAGAAAGGAAAAACATAAATTATAAAATCTGAAAGCAGGGTGAGAATTTTAAATGCCATTTTGTATCTTCCTTGTTATTTCTGTGACTTTATTTTGCTCTTAGTGCAAAAAGTGTCCTGATGAAATTCTGTAAAACTAGAACACTGTACCTTTTAGAGGGGGAAAAAAACCCCACCAAAGCTGATATCTATTAAGCCATGTTAATTTAACATGTCATAACTTCTATGTGATAAATAGCTAGTAATTGCTTACAAACCACTGTTCATTTCTTCTTTACTTTTAAAATTTTTACTTAAAATATGAGCAAATGCACCCATTTCCATTGATACAATGGAAACAGTATGGTTTAAGTTATCACCCAGTAATTTGGGCACATTAAACCCAATTCCCTGCCTTTTGTTTATTAATCCACTATGCCAGATATCACAGTTTCACTC